GATTACCCCCTCTCCCAATCTGCCCTCCTCTCTATCATCCCCCTGCTCTCTTGTCCCCTTCCCCCACTACTTTCCTGTAAGGTAAGATGGATTTCCATACCCAATTGAGTGGAAGTTCACATCTGTTAAAGAGATTACAAGGCATTAACTATGGTGTTTATGCATTAAACACCTCATCTTGCCCTTATACTGATTATGTTGCATTAATTGAGATGGGGAAGGGGTGTGGAACGCTTCCCTCACACTGAGAAAATTGAGACCATATACTCCCTCACTTCCTCTACTGACATCTCAAGATCCTTCTATGCCATCTCTTTTGTTTCAGTTTCTGAGAAAGAGGCATCCCTTATCCTTGCCAACCGCTATACCTGTCCCCGTGACCCTTCTAAGAGCTTGCCCTATTGTTGAACATTCTCTCCTCACCATCAGGTCTCTTCCTATCCCCTGGTGCCTGCAAATAACCCCTAGCCTCCCTATTCTTAAAAATTAACTTTCATTTGACCCTGTCATCCCCTCAGAATGCCACCTGATATTTCTCCCCCATCACTGCTAACCTGCTAGAGAATGGTTTACATTTACTACTATAATTAACCACCCACTCATTTCTTAACCCCCTTAGGATCTAGCTTCCAATTCCACCATGCCACTGAAGCTACCAATACAAGGTTTTTAAGGTTTTTTTTTGTTGTTGCTCAGTCATTTCCAGCCATGTCTGACTCTTTGCCACCCTATTTTGGGGTTTTCTTGGCAAAGATATTGGAGTGGTTTGCCATTTCCTTCTCCGACTCATTTTGTAGATGAAGAACTGAGGCAAACAGGGTTAAGTGACATGCCTAGAGTCACACAGCCAGGAAGTATATGAGGCTGGATTTGAATTCACAAAGATGAGTCTTCCTAACTCCAGGCCCAACACTCTATACACTGTCCCAACTAGCTGCCCTCTTTAAGGTTACCAACCAACAATCTAAATCATGTGGCCTTTCTCAGCTCTCATCTTTCTTGATTACTCTAAGGTTATTGTTACTGTTAGTAATTCTCTCCTTCTGAGTACTCCTCCATTGATTTTTATTGTCCTGGTTCATTATCCTTTTCTCACTTTTTAAACATGGGTAACCAAGGTACCATCCTAAGTCCTCTTCCCTAATCTCTGTGTACTTTGGTGATCTCATCAATTTACATGAGTTTATATGAGTTCAGAGATCATATCTATGAAGAGCATTTTCAAACCTGTATGTATATCCAACCCTAATATTTCTATTGAACTCCAGTACTGTATAGCCTCTCCCCTAACCCTACCCCTACCCCAAACCAAGCCTTAGTTCTCAGTCAGAAGACTCAAGACTCTCTGACTATTGGTCATTGCTCTGCATTGTTCTTAGGGAATCCCAACTCAACTTCATTTTACTTGGTAGAAATAAAGGTACAAATAAGGAGAAGTAGATAATTGGAAGAGAGGGGGAGGGGAAAAAGGAAGAGTAGGGGTCAGGTCTAGGAACTGATGTGATGCCTCTCAACTTCCCTTTTCCCCTCAGAGCCTGACCAAGGGGTTATGTTGTGTATGAGCGGAACTGTTACAGCTTCACATTAGCCTGATCTGTCCAGGCTGGGATTTCCAGCTCAGATTGCATACCTTTGTCCCCTATCCTGTCATGACCCACACCCCCTCAACATCACTCCTATAGAAATTGTATGACTCCTTAACTCTCTCTTATTCTCTGTCCAAGGTGGTATGTGTATGGGAGGAAGCTGGGTCTGCCTTGGAAGACAGAAAACAGATGCCATTTCCTCTACTCCTCTAAGCTGTTTCTTTCTACCTATTCCTACCCTGCCCCCTTTTAGAACCCATCCCCAGGATTCCCCCTTCCTTTATCCTTTCAATCTGGCCTAGGGGTCCAGA